TCCAGTCCCACCCCCTACCATGGGCAGGGACACCTTCCACTGTCCCAGGTTGCTCCAAGCCCCATCCAACCTGGCCTTGGACACTTCCAGGGCTGGGGCAGCCCCACCTTCTCTGGGCAACAGTTTTACTGAACACTTTTCCTGCTCTGAGCTGTTCCTTCATCCACCACCTTTCCTGAGTTGGATCCTGCATGGCATCTGTGTGTTATTCCCTGGTTTTGCCCTTTCCCTGGCTCTCCCTTGGCGAGAGAGGGATCCTGGCACTCCTGTCATTGCCACTGTGTTCCCTGGAGACTCCCAGCACTGACACAGGCTGTGCTTTGCTCTCAATATTCCCCCAATGTAGCTGCTCTGGAAAGGCACTGGAGCCCTGGAATTTGTTCCTTTGTGGTCACTGGAGCTGAACTTCCAAGGGTGGATACGACAAGAGCAGGGCCTGTCGTTGTGTCTGGGATCATGGGATGCTGGATATTAGGAAAAACAGATGCTAGGATGAAACAGTAGAAGCTAGAAAAGATACTAGGCTAGTAGATATTAGGAAAGTAGTTTATAATGAAAATTTCTTCATGGAAGAGATTGTAAAGCACTGGAATGAGCTGTTCAGGCAGTGGTGGAGTCACCCTCCCTGGAAGTGTTCAAAACCATGTGGATGTGGCACCTGGGGACGTGGATTAGTGGTGACAAGGCAGTGCTGGGGTGATGGACTTGGCGATCTTAAGTGTCTTTCCCAGTCTGAACAGTTCCATGATTCCATGTTTCCACGCTGCAGGGACCTGGCTGCTGGTCTCCTCTTCCTCTAACTCCCCTCTCTCTCCTCTCTCTGCAGGAAAGCGAGGATGGCATCGAAGGAGACGGTGAGTGATGACCTCTGGCCGTTGCAAGCATTGTTTGTGCGAAAAAAAAAAAATAGAAGTCAGATAAAATGTCTTTTCCAGCAATCCTGTGGTTGTTGCCATCCCAAATATTCACTTGTAACATGGGGTGCAGAGACAGCACACCCCAAACTTGCTCCTGCTCCCTTCTGGGCTGGTTGGGGTGTTGATCCGGGATGGTGCTCGCCTCCAGATTCCCTTTGGAAGGGATTTGGTGGCACTGGGAGAGGAACCATGTCCGGCCCTGCCCTAATCCCAACCGTTTTCCCTCCCTGCAGCCGTGCTCTCAGACTATGAAAGCGCCGAGGACTCGGAGGTAAGCGACTGGTTCTCATGGAATTTCAGCACAATTCCCAGGCTGTGTCCTTGGATCTCTTCCACTTGACCCCCCTGTCTCCCAAGGAAACAGCCTCTCCCAGTGCCAGCCCCTGGGATACAGTCCCTGGCACTGGGACCAGTGTCCCTGTGCTGCTGGGAGGGTGTAGGGCCAGTACGTGCCAGGAAAAACTCTCCTGGCTCCTCAGACACTGGGAACAGGATTTGCCGTGGCCAAGAAGGGCGTGGGAGGAGTGTGGGATGCTCATTGGGTTTTAATTAGTTGAAATTAAAAAGCAAAGTGGTGGTTGGGAGCATCCCAGGAGCTTCCCTGTGTTCTGGAGGAGCAGCTGGAGGGGCGACGCATCCCAGGAGTTGGGGGTGCTGAGGGAATCCCACCCCACCAGTGCCTGGGGGCTGCGGGTTTCCCTGGATTTTCGGAACTCAAAGATTTCCAGGAAGTTTAGAGAAGTTCTGGTCTCTGAGGGTTATAGTGAAGGGCTTCTAGGGAAAATCCATCTCTTGTTTTGGGATCCTTCAGGGGTCCAGTGGTTAGGGAACACACAAACCACCAGGCAGAGGAAATCCAAGCTGTTAATTTGGGAGTTGATCTCAGTTTGGGAATTAAGCATTGCCATTAACGAGGAAGGAGTGTGGCAGCACAGGGAGGGAACAGGGCAGCTCCCGGAGCTCCTCCAGCCTGGAATCCTGCGTGGAGACTCCCGGTGGCAGCGAGGTTGTTGCATCACCACCCGTGCCAGGATGACTCTGTTCCTGTGCCTAAAAATAATGCCCGGCCTGGGCTTCCCCGGCGTAAACACCGGGAGCAGCCAATGTGGAAGGGCTGTGTTGAAAGAGGAAAATGGAGCAGGGTTTGGTTAATCACCCCGAGCTATTTTTAGTTCGGCTCCAGCCTCCGAAGGCTCCTGGAGGGTGAAACCAGGTCACGCTCCTGAGCAGAGTGAGTCAGCTGAGGAACTCCAGGGAATTTGGAAACGTGGCTCTGGCTGGATCCGGGCCCTCGGCGTGGAAGGAAGGGCCTGTGATCACCAGTCTCCCCAGTTTGCAGGAGCCCTTTTTGGAGTGATGGGATGCCAGGGCTTTGTGGAAGAGCTGATCCCAGCTCCATTCCAGAAAGCCTGTTGGATCCTCACTTTCCTGGAAGAGGTTGGGTTTATTTAGCCTTTGCTTTTTCTGTAAAAATATTGGGATGGGAAGAATTCTAAGAGCTAATCCTCTGCTTTTGAAGAGTCAGGTCTAACAGCTGGAACAGGGATCTCATTCCAGATTTGGGGAGATTCCTGGGGGAATCTGTTGTGGCATCTAACTGCAGATTTGGGGATATTCCTGTGGAACCTGTTGCTGGGTCTAACTCCAGATTTGGGAGAAATCCTGGGGGATCTGTTGCTGGATCTAACTCCAGATTTGGGGAGATACCTGGGAGATCTGTTTCTAACGGAGCACATTTGAGTCACTGGGTGTCTGCCAGGCGGAGGAGGAGGATTACAGCGAGGAAGAAAGCTCCAAGGTGGACTTGAAGCAGGACAGCACCGACTCCTGCGAGTCAGCAGCCAGAGCAGAGAAGGGCAGTGAGAAGCTGGATGCCAAGGGAGCGGTGACGGGCGAGCGGCAGAGCGGGGACGGGCAGGTGGGTGTCCCGCGGGGACGGGCTGGGGGCTGGCAGCAGGACTGCTGCAGTGGTGAGAGCTCGCTGGTTCTGACAGGAGAGCACGGAGCCTGTGGAGAAAAAGGTTGGGAAGAAGGTCCCCAAGCACCTGGACGACGATGAGGATCGGAAGAACCCCGCGTACATCCCGCGCAAGGGGCTCTTCTTCGAGCACGACCTGCGAGGGCAGACGCAGGAGGAGGAGGTCAGGTATGTGTCCCCCAGGGGCTCTGGGAGAGGGAGGCTGTTCCAGGCCAGCTTCCAGGCCAACCTCTGGCAGCACAGCTCCTTGTTTCAGTGGGATGCACTGGGAAGGTCCATGCTTCCATTACCTGCTCTGTGTCCTTCCAGGACACTTCAGGTTTTTGTTTTGAACAAGAGATGCAAATAAGCTCCCAAAAAAAAGCCTCATGCCAGGGAGCAGTGACCCTTCCTGCTACTTTTCCCAAAGAGCAGTGGGTCACCAGCAGCTGCTGGGCAGGAGGAGCGGGGGGAAGGAGGAATGCTGCCTCCTGTGCATTCCCTGCCCCAGGAATGCTCGGTCTCTGTGTGTGGGACTGCTCGAAGCTGCCACATCTCAGCTGTACATCCTTACTCCTCCCTGTGTCCCTGCTCCAGGCCCAAGGGCCGTCAGCGGAAGCTGTGGAAGGACGAGGGGCGCTGGGAACACGACAAATTCCGGGAGGACGAGCAGGCCCCCAAGACCAGGCAGGAGCTGATTGCTCTGTACGGATACGACATCCGCTCAGCCCACAACCCCGACGACATCAAGCCCAGGAGGATGCGCAAACCACGGTGAGCCCCAGAGTCACACCAGGCCCTGGACTGTCCCCTGAGAGGATGGGTCTAGAGCCCCAAAGAGGGGAAGCCCTGTTGTATGGGAGAGAGTTAATTCTTGGAAGCATTTCGCTGCCCTCAGTCCATTCTGTCTTCCTGTGCCTGTATTTGCATTGTCAGTGATCCATGAGCACTTCCAGTGTTTATTTTGTCTGTTTTCACTCCCCTGGGATCACCTGTGATCACCTTGGCACGGTGGTTTATGGTTTAAACCAAAGTGCTGTGTGGATTTAAAAACCCATCACTTATTCCTGGGATTTCTAGACGTGCATCCCAGAGAGGGGCACAGCAATTCCTCCCACCCAGGGGTTTCTTTGCAGTTAATTGTGCTGTTTTTCTCCCCCAGGTTTGGGAGTCCCCCCCAGCGAGACCCCAACTGGTCCAGCGAGAGGCCCCCGAAGCCCCCGAGGCACCAGGGAGCCAAGAGCCCCTCGGCCCCCCCACGGCCCTTCACCAGCCGCAGCTCTGCCAGCACTGGCAGGATGGCCCCCACCAGGAACTACCCCAGGATGGGGGGCTACAAGGAGACCCGTCCAGGCTACCGGGCTTCAGAAACGGGTGTCCCGCACAGAAACGGGGAACAAGCCAAGCAGGAGAGCGGCTACCGCGGGAAGCGGGCGGAGCAGAGCCCGCCGAGGGACACGTCCCCCGAGCTGGAGGTGCCACATATCCATGGCAGCCCCGGGAAGGAGGAGGGGGCTCTGGAAAACCAAGCCGTGGCTGCTGATGCTGCGCAGCCGCCACCAGACAGACCAGTTGAGAAGAAATCCTATTCCCGGGCAAGAAGGACCAGAGTGAAGGCTGGGGACGCGGGGAAGCTGCTGGAGGAAGCGCCCGCTTCCGAGGGGCTGGCTCCTGTCATTCCAAAACCCACACCTGCAGAGACCTCCCCCCCACCAGCCAAGAGCAACTGGGAGTCGCCAGTGGAATCCAGCGTGGATGGACTCGAGCAGGAGATGACCCAGATGAACCTGACGGAGCAGAACTGGACCCCGGGGCAGTCCCAGTTCATCCCACCTCGGGAGATGAGGGGTAAGTGGGAGTAGCCTCCTGGTTTTCCAGCAGCCTGGTGCCATCCTGCTCCATGCAGCTGGTTGGAGTCGAGCTGTCTCTGCCCGAGCCCAGTCCCAGGGTGGGTGGTTCCTGCTGAGGAAGAGCAGTGGGGACAAAACCACAGAGAAAAAAGAGGAAATTAAACATTCCAGCAGGCGAATGGAGTTAGGTCTGGGAAGGACAGAAGGGGAGATCCTTTCTCTCTCCCTGTGGTGTGAATCACAGCAAGACTGACTCATGCCACAGGAGAGCAGGAGATAAGGATCAATAACTGGATGTCCTGCTGGAGCAGGAGGGAACTTTTCCCTGTTTATCAGCTCATTTCCTGGAACTGGGGCTTGGTTGCCACCAGCTGAGGCCTGTCTGGGATTGGCAAATCTCTTTGTGCCTGGGAGGAGGAAGGGACTTGGGGCAGAGTTACCTTGCTGCCAGCTGAGGACAGTTCCAGTTGCGTATCCATGGAGAGGTCATCCAGGTATAATTATCCCTGTGCAGAATTAGAGTGTTCTGGAGAGGGCTAGAGTGCTTCCCGAGGGGAATAAAACTGGATCAAGGAGAAGGAAGTGACTTGCTGCTTTCATAAGCGTCTGTGGGGTTGAGGTCGTGGAACCAGAAGTCATTTTGTACTGGTGGGACTGGGAAGTCTGTGTGTGAACAGACCCTTGGACAGGATGGAAACGTGGCAGTGGGATGAGAGTTCAGAAGAGCTCAGATTGTGTATTTTTGGGTGTTTTTATGCTTAAAAATGAAGTGTCTTCACAAATTTCCCTTGGGACAGCTCTAGGCTGTGTCACATTCTGCCCGTGACTCTGCTGTCCCTTGTTTGTCCCTAGTGGATGAGGGAGGAGTTAATTCTGGGAAGCATTTGGCTCCCATCAGTCCATTCTGTATCCCTGTGCCTGCATTTGCACTGTCAGTGATCCATGAGCACTTCCAGTTATTTATTTAGTCCATTTTCACTCCCCTGGGACCACCTGTGGTCACCTTGGCACCGTGGTTTAAACCATGGTTTTAAAAGCCGTCACTTCACTGTTTGGTTCCAAAGGTTCCCTTGATAAAGGCATTTACACCCTGCAGAGGGTTTAAATTGCACCTTCAGATCCCACATGGATCCTTGATCCACCTGGAAGAGACCCATGTCTCAGCAGACACAGAGCTTAAACCAGGACGTGGATTTATTTTTTAAGCAGGATTTAGAAGGTGCTGAGCACCGTGGGTGAGCGTGCAGTGACAAAACAGCCTGTAATTTGTCCCAAAATATTTAGAATTACCATAAGGGTGATGAAGTCCGAAGGTTCCATGTCATGGGAGAGAGAGCTGAGCCACAGCAACATCCCTGGGCGAGGCAGCTCCGGCCTGGGACCGAGCACAAACCACAATAATAACCAGTCTGTTCCTTCCTCAGGTATTCCCAACCATATGCACGTGGGAACTGGGCCACCACCACAGTTCAACCGGATGGAGGAGATGGTAACGTGTAATCCCGGAGACGGGCTCTAATTGCTTGGGGTTGGGGTAATTAGAGGCTGCCTGACACTTCAGCCTTTCCTCTTTGGGGCTGTTTGGGGGTGACCCAGGGGAGGTTTGGGTGGGGGGTGTGTGGTGTTGGTGCCTCCCAGCCCCCCCTGACGCCGGGACTCTTGCAGGCAGTGCCGGGGGGCCGTGTCAAGCGTTACTCCTCACAGCGCCAGAGACCCCCCGTGCCAGAGCCCGCACCCCCCATGCACATCAGCATCATGGAAGGGCACTACTATGACCCACGTGAGTGTTTCCCCCCTGCTCCCGAGTCTCCATGGGTGCTCAGAGCTGGGCAGCTGGAGCAGGAATCCCCCCCCCTCTTTTTAGTGTTGGGAAGATCAGGGTGGGCTTTGTCCTTTCTTTCCTTTGTTGTAGTGTCACTGTGGCCCCTCATACGGCGACTAAAAGGCTGCTGGGAGCCTCCCTGGTTGTGTTTAAACCGTGGAATTATCCTCAGTGTTATCCCCTCCCTGTGCCAGGGCTCTTAGGACACCCCAATTCTTCCCGAGAGCTGGGATTTGAAATGAACTTTAAATCAGGTCTTTGACCTTTGAGAGCGGGGAGAGTCACAGAGTGGGGCTGAGGATGGATTAGAAATTCCCTCCAGCATTTAAAGTGTTAGAGAAAAAATTCCCTGAGTGTTTTCTTGCTTTCCTGAGGGAGTAGGAGGCTTTTCTGTTGGGATCACATGGCAGCTGTGAGCCTGGGAGCCTGCGTGTGCCGTGGGAGCTGGCTGGGAGCCCTCGGGGCTACTGGGCTGTGTGTCCTGCTGCAGGGGAATGAAATTCCGTGGAGCTTTTCCTCACAGGCTGTCATGTGTTGCAGTACAATTCCAGGGACCAATCTACACCCACGGGGAGAACCCGGCCCCGCTGCCACCCCAAGGGATGATCGTGCAGCCGGAGATGCACCTCCCTCATCCAGGTGAGGAGCCAGCAGGACACCCCTCGACCCAGGGGACAGGGAACTCTGGTTTCCCACAGCCTCTGTCACTGGGGGAATCCATTTTTCCTAGTTTTAAAACATGAAAGAGACCTGCTCCCTACTGCAGTGAGGCTGAATCAGTGTCAGTTTTAAGGAAAGAAAAAAATAGGTGTTTCTGGAGCTTCCAGTCAGTGCAGGGTGGGGGAATTTGAACCTTTGGCAGCTCTCAGCTGGATCTCTGCAGGTCCCTGTTGGGCCCCTCTGGGCTGAGCCGCTCCCTTCCGTGGGCACTGGGCTGGTTCCTCACTGGGCTGGTTCTGTAGCTCAGGGAAAAGCAGAACTAGAAGCTGTTGAACTGGCACATCCTCTGCTTGCTACCAAAACTGTTTCCTGAAGTGGATTTGTGATGGGGTCGTGTCCTATCCCAGTGAATCGGGACCTGGAATTGGGGAAGGGGCCGTGCCCCGTGTCCCTCCCCAGCGTGGGGCTGCAGGGGAGCCTTGGAGCAGAGCGTGCTTCTTCCTACTGCCAGCCCTGCCCTCTGTGGGACACAGTGGCTTCTCCAGTGACATCCCTCTCCTTCCCATCCCCTCCAGGTTTACACCCCCACCAGACACCCCCCGCCATGGCAAACCCCGGCCTGTACCCCCCGCCGGTGTCCATGCCCCCGGGCCAGCCCCCGCCGCAGCAGCTGCTCACTCCGACCTACTTCTCCGCCCCTGGAGTGATGAATTTTGGGAATCCTGGCTACCCCTACCCCCCCGGAGCTCTGCCCCCTCCGCCTCCTCCGCATCTGTATCCCAACACACAGGTAAGCCGGGTGTGCCGCGGCTCCTTCCCAAGCAGGAGGGACCCTGTGGAGTGTGGGGTGTGTTCTCCGAGGTTTTCCTGGGAGAGGATGTGGAGCAGGTGCACTGCTCCGTGAGGGGGAGGCTGCTGCCATCCTGGAAAGGATTGCTCCCTGCGTGTGGGGTCTGGAAATCCTGTACTGGGGGATCTGAAATGGAGGCGTTCCCCTACGGAACAGGAGACAGCCCACCAGAAACTTGGGAACAGGCACAGCCCCTCCAGGTCCCTGCTGAGCCAAAGGACACCTTGGGAACGGCTTTGGAAGTCGGTTCTGTTTGGGATGGAGGCTGGGAACTGGATGGTGTGAACATGGGGCTGGATTTTCTTGCTCTGTGACCCAACTCCACATCTAAGGTTGCTGCCGAGCAGCGAGGAGGCAGATTGGATCGTGTCCGTGAGGAGACAGATCAGAGCAGATCCCTGAGGAGGTGGATTGGATCGGATCCCTGTGAGGGTCAGACCAGATCAGATCCCTGTGAGGAGACAGATCAGATCAGATTCTCCAGGAGGCAGGGCAGACCATATCCTTGCAAAGGCAGATCAGAGCGGACTAGATGCGTGTGAGGAGGCAGATGAGCCCAGCCCAGCCCAGATCCCCGTCCCGGAGCAGGGCTGACACACCGTGGCAGGACAGAGAGCTGCACGATCCCTGAGCTCCAGACACTCCCTGCCCTTCCTGCTGCTCCGGGTGATCCCCACTCTGGGGGCAGATCCTGACCCCTGGGCCACGGGGCTGGGTGTGCCGGGGAGCTGTGTCCCTGTGGAAAAGCTGTTGGGAAGCACAGGCATTCCGTGGCATTGGGGAACTGCAGGATGAGGGAATCCCCTCTGCCATGGGCGGTGTCCCATCTCTGCCCACCCTACCAGCAGGACCCCAGCAAGGGGTGGGGGTACACGAGGGGCCTCAGGAGCTGGTCTTTGGGGGGCACAGCACAGGTTAACCCCCTCCCCATGCCAGCTCACCCTTGGTGCTGGCTGGGGGCAGCTGTCAAGCCTGGCAGGGACCGTGTGGTGTCTCCCAGTCCCCCCAGCCCAGAGCTCTGACCCCGCTGCTCCCACAGGCGCAGTCCCAGGTGTATGGGGGGGTCACCTACTACAACACTGTCCAGCAGCAGGTGCAGCCCAAGCCTTCCCCACCCCGCCGGACGTCCCAGCCCGTGACCATCAAACCACCCCCTCCGGAGGTACCGTCCCCTTGCTTGGCTCTGTGTGTGTGTGTGGTACCAGTGGCGTGTTTGAGGCTGCAGTTCCCTCTCCCATCCCGAAAAACTAACCTTGTTCTGAGGAAATCTTAAACCTGTTTTCGTCTTTGACCTGTCCCAAACCTCAGCTTCTCTTTGCAGGTGGTAAGCAGGGCTCCAGTTAATTTGAGTTACTTAAATCTTTAAAACTAAAACCACGTAAAAAGTAAGTCTGAAGTTGACTTTTTTTTTTTTTTTTTTAAATTATTTGCTCAGGGTAGAAAAAAGAACAATTTAGAGAGGGAAAAACCCAGCCCTAAGCTAGGAGGCAGGAATTCTCTGGAAGAGTAAATGTTGAGACCTTATTAGCAGATAATTCAGGCAGCAGAATTAAAGGTTTTTCAGGGATGAGAATGCTTCCCTGCACTGGGAATGGTCTCCCTGCTCCAGTGCTGTGAGCTGTGCGTGTGTGAGCGTGCTGGAGTGCCACGTGTGTGTTTTTGGTTTCCCTTTCCATACCTTCCTCACATATGGAAGCCGAGCAAGCCCAGACCCGGGCAGGCATGTTCTGGTGGGTTCTCATACACGGGGAGGGCTGGGAAGCAGATTGTCTGATGGAGGGGCCCTGAGAAAGCCCTTGTGATGGAAAAATCTGGAACCACAAGGAGAGGTTGGCACAGAGAGCTGGTTGTGCCCAGAGGGGTTGGGGGGGGAGGTTGGCACCCAGATGTGGAGGGTTTGCTGGCAGGACTCAGCCATAGCACTGAGCCTCCCATGCCAGGGTTTGGGGTGGTCCTGAACCTCTGCTGCTCTTCCCCCTCCCAGGACAGCAAAGGTGAAAAATCAAAGGAGAGGAGCAACACGTAGGGATGTGGCCACGGGAATCCCAGCACCAGACTCGGCACCTCGGCGAGGAGGAAGCTGCTCCTTGGAACGGCTCCTTCCCTGCGCGGAGGTGAGGCAGCGGGATGAGACACCTGCACCTGCTCAGGGCCAGGCACTTCCCCCCATGGTCTGAGCGGTGCCTTCCCGAAATCCATCCCACTGCTGCCCACCCCCCTCCTCCCCTGCGCTGGGGCCGCCGAAGAACCAGCCCCCGAGTCGGTCCTTGGCCACACGTTCTCCCAACTTCTCCCCGTTACTAAACGTTCCCCGCTCCCTCCCCAGATGTCAAACTCCGCTGGCTTGATCGTGGTCTGTTTTTATTTAAGGAATGAAGCAGCTCCTTCATTAAAGCTGATTTGTTTCTTTTGGGTATTTCGTATTTATTTGTCTGGGTAAGCAGCAGTGACATCCTCTGACACAGTTCGTTCTTCATTTCAATTCTCTTTTCAATTACCAAATTGATTTCTGCCACTCTGGGAGCAGCAGAAGGGCGGGAGAGTCATGGGAGGCTGTTGGGAATGCACTGCCTGGGCAGGAACTACTTAATTTAGGAGCTGCTCCTAATTCTTTTCCCAGCAAGCCGTTGGTAACTGGTGTTGGTCCATGAGTGTGAGCTCTCAGGTGGGATTCCACGGGGTGACCTCCATCCCTGCTGCCACCTGCCCTCTCGGCAGCGACGGGGAGGTTTGTGGGTGCCCAGCACCCCGACGCTGCCCGAGCAGCCCAGCCAGCACCCAAACCAGCTCGGCAGGGCCGGGTTTGCTCCCAGCGCTTGGGAGTTGCTGCTGGGGCTGTGGAGGGTGTTGGAACCTGCCCCGACGCTCCGGGCTGGGCTCTGGCCCCACGAGGAAGCGCCGCAGCCCCGCGCCTGTTCCCGCCTCGGTTCCCTCCCCCACGGCAGCCTCGTGTCCCCGTTCAGATTCCCGATCCCGTGGGGTGACTGTGCCAAGCCGATCCCGGCTGGCTCACCTGTGCCCCGTCCCCCTGTGCCTCCCGCGTCCCGCCGGCCCCACGGCTCCAGCTCCGGCTTGGCCGCGTCCTCGCAGCCGTTTGCAAATTGCATTAGGAAACTTGGCAGGGCCGGCTGCCCCTTCCTGCCC